TGTGACATTTGTATCCATAATGGATATGTGCTGTTGTACAATATGCAATGCTAATGTGAATTGGTGATATTTATGTATTGTGTATGGGTGCATGGTGCCATGAGGAAACTACAGTCAAAAAAATCTATGAACAGTGCATCGAATTGTAACACTGCAGAAAACTATGTCTGGCAGTTGCAGCAGACACATTTTTATATAACCAGCATTCATTTTACAGAGGTTTGCTATTGTTACAACTTTAACCACATTTCCCAATTAAAAAAAGATTAAGCTTTCAAAATTGCAACAAATAGCACTAGCTTAACGGCATTAGCTCGAAACACCTCTGAGAAACGTTGTCTGACCAGATAGGTCAGGCCCCCGAAGCTTGGCCCCAGCTCTACTGTGAGAACCCTTTGAGTTATGTATGACAGGGAGTTGTCATTTGATTCAGACCTAAAACAAGTCTCTATAGGACAGCCTTCCTCCACCTTCCTCCACCAATATCATGAAAATTAGACACATCCTTTCTTGAAAAGATGCTGAAAAACTAGTCCATGCATTTGTTACTGGACTAGACTGGATTCTTATAATTCTTTATTATCAGGATGTCCCAGTGAGAAAAGCCAACAGTTGATCCAAAATGCTGCGTAAGCACTGACAGGTGCCAGAAGAACAGATCATATTACTCCTGTATTAGCTTCTCTGCATTCGCACACCGGTCACTGTAACCTCTGAAAACACGTTTTGCCTTGTGAATATTTTGCCTTGTGAATATGATGTGGAATGCAAGAGAGGCGAGAAAGACCGGGAACACTATTAATTATTGTTTCTTAGCACAATTCATATAATAATTACAATTACTGAAATAGTGTAATTAATAATACTAATAATGGTCAAAGTTGTTGTCTTGAGGTTCCGGGGTCAGAGATATCTGCAATGGGAGAGTAAAAGAGAGAGAGAGACTATGGGAGTACAAAGTGAAATAGTCATTGACATGTATTAAAATAAATAAATGAATGAATGTGGGGGGTAGAGAGACAGAGAGAAGTGGAGAAGTGCTCAGTGCATGATGGGAGTTCCCCCAGCAGTCTAGACCTATAGCAGCATAACTAAGGGATGGTTCAGGACTCACCTGATCCAGAGCTAACTATAGGCTTTATCAAAAAGGAATGTTTTAAGTTTAACTTTAAATGTAGAGATGGTGTCTGCCTCCTGAACCCAGAGTGGGAGCTGGTTCCACAGGAGAGGAGCCTGGTAGCTGAAGGTTCTACCTCCTGTTCTCCTCTTACAGACTCTAGAACCCAGAGTGGGAGCTGGTTCCACAGGAGAGGAGCCTGGTAGCTGAATTCTCTACCTCCTGTTCTACTCTTACAGACTCTTGGAACCACAAGAGAGCCTGTGTTTTGGGAATGAAGTGATGAGCTCTTTGATATATGAAGGGGCTTGATTGTAAATGGCTTTAAATGTGAGGAGCAGGATCTTGAAATCTATTCTGAATTTTACAGGGAGCCAATGTAGAGAAGCTACAACAGGAGTAATATGATCTCCCCTTCTAGTTCCTGTCAGCACTCATACTGCAGCATTTTGGACCAACTGGGGGCTTTTCACCAAGCTCCTCTCCTGTGGAACCAGCTCCCACTCTCAGTGAGGGAGGCAGACACTGTCYCTACATTTAAGGCTAGACTTAAAACCTTCCTTTTTGATAAAGCTTTTAGCTCAACCATGAGCCGTAGTCATCCATAGTTGTGTTGCTATAGGCCTACACTGCTGGGGGATCACCTCACTCTCTCTTCTTCACTCTCTGCCTTGTTTATTTTGTTGTATCTTATTACATGTCTCTAATTCCTTCGGTCTTCTCCTCCCCTCCTTGGTCCATGCTGTGCGGCTCTCCGGAGCCCGTCCTCGCTCGGATCTTGATGAGGGATGGACCTAGTGGAGGTCGTTGGTCTGTCGCAGGGCTGACATGGAGGGTCACCCAACCACCAGCACTTTGACCTGAGGACCTCTCATCTTTGGAGCCATGGGTACTGTGCATGTTGGACCATGAGGGAGGCAGGAGTGCCCGGGGGGACCAACGCACCCTTTGAAGACCATGCCAACGTCCATGTGGAGATTCCCGGGCTGGATTTAAGCCCATGACCTGAGACTGTGACTCCACCCCCCCCTTTATTTCCTTTTGTTCCCCTATTTTTTTCTCCAATCACCCCAACTGGTCCTGGCAGAGGCTGTCCACACTGAGCCCGTTTCTGACAGAGGTTTCTTCCACCTGGGAGTTTTTCCTTCCCACTGTTGCTCAGGCTTGCTCGGTGTGGAACAAGTTGGATTTTGTCTTTTTAAGATCTTGGACTTTTTGTCCAAAAGTCCAAGATAGAATAGAATAGAATTCAAGATCCTGCTCCTCACTTTTAAAGCCCTCAACAATCACGCCCCCTCATATATCAAAGAGCTGATAACACCTTATTATCCAAGTAGATCACTTCGTTCCCAAAACACAGGCTCTCTAGTGGTTCCAAGAGTCTGTAAGAGTAGAGCAGGAGGTAGAACATTTAGCTATCAGGCTCCTCTCCTGTGGAACCAGCTCCCACTCTGGGTTCGGGAGGCAGACACTGTCCCAGCATTTAAAGTAAAACTAAAAACCTTCCTCTTTGACAAAGCCTATAGTTAGGGCTGGATCAGGTGAGTCCTGAACCATCCCTTAGTTGTGCTGCTATAGGTTTAGACTGCTGGGGGAACTCCATCATGCACTGAGCACTTCTTCACTTCCCTCTGTCTCTCTGTCTCTCTGCCCCCCCACACCTGTTTATTTATTTATTTATTAGTTTTAACATGTCATCATRTCAAAGTGTCACTTTGTCCTCCCATAGTCCCTCTGGCTCTTCTCTCTATCTCGTTTCAGATAACTCCGGCACCCGGACTGCAGGACAACAACGACCACCATCACCATTGTCTGCATTTATTAAAATAACTCAGTAATTCATTAATATATCTAATCCTGTTGTAGATCTATACATTGTTATTGTTATAGTCAGCCCTGATAGTGATTGGTGCCCAATTGTTCCCGGTCTCTCTCTCTCCACCTCATCTCTCTCTTCTCTCCCCCGCTTTCCACCCATCTCTCCTTTCCTCCCCCCTTACTTTTCTTTCCTCACCCCAACCAGTCGAGGCAGATGACCGCCCACATTGAGCCTGGTTCTGCCAGAGGTTTCTCCCTGTTAATGAGGGAGTTTTTCCTCTCCACAGTCGCATTTAAAGGTCTTGACCTTTAAATGTAAAGTGCCTTGAGATAATGTAAATTATGAATTGGCGCTATATAAATAAAATTGAATTGAATTTAATTGAAATTGTGCAGCACCCTGAGACTGTTTGTTGTGATACTGTGCTATATAAATAAATTTGATTGATTGATTGATTCACAGACTTCCTGTTACATCCTGATAATAAAGAATTACAGTAATCTAGTCTAAAGGTAATAAATGCGTGGACTAGTTTCTCAGCATCCTTCTGAGACAGGCTGTTCCTAATTTTCTTAATATTGTGCAGGTGGAAGAAAGCTGTCCTAGAGACTTGTTKTATAGTTTGGTCAAATGACATGTCCTGGTCAAACATAACTCCAAGGTTCCTCACATTGGAGCTCAATTTTTAGAAAATACAATATCTTCTTCCACTGCTTTGCAGATGACATACAAATATACTTGCCCCTGAACCTAAAAACTAAGACTTCACTACATCCCCTGCTTGACTGTCTAAATGACATCAAATTATGAATTAATACAAACTTCCTCAAATTAAATGGAAATAAGACTGAGGTTATTGTATTTGGACACTCTAAATTGCTGGATGTGAGCACCCTTGGCCTCCTAGCTCCTAATATTCACTCCACCATGAGGAGTCTTGGCATTCATTTTGATAAATTTGACCAGCCTAGTTGTCAGGTGTGGCTTCTTTCATATAAGACTAATAGCCAAAGTACAGTCCTATCTCCCACAAAATCAAAAGGGTTATCCATGCCTTCATAACCTCTCGACTAGACTACTGTAATTCCCTGTATGTAAGCATAGAGACACCATATCACACCTGTGTTGCACTCCCTCCACTGGCTTCCTGTTCGTTACAGGATCGATCAAAAATTTTACTGTTAACTTTTAAATCAGACTGGCACCGCCTTGCAGAGCCAAACTTCTTCATACACACACTCCAGTTA